CTGACATATTCAAAAAGAAAGACTAAATGAAATAAAATAAATATGCCAATATGCATTTTTCAATTTTCTTCTTAACTCCTCTAGAAGAGACTCAGATATACAGTATGTATGCCAATTAAAAATTTAAGATTTAGTTATTTCTCATAAAATATATTAATATTTTCATCTTAAAACTTTTTTATGGGAGAATAAATCTATATCATGGAATTTAATTTTTATGATGAAAAAGTTTGTATATTTCAATTTTGTCAAACTATCCAACAGAATGTATGCTCCTTAGGAGCAGAAACTAATTTATGCCTTTGTATCCCCAGCACCTAGCATAATGATAAAGATACAAAAAGTATTTAATAAATGCCTTCTAGGTACATTAATCATTTTTTAATATTTTAAAGTGCCAAGTATTCTCAGTGAGAGTCTAGACCCATAAGGGAAGTCGAATTTGTCCCCAAAGAGCTATGACACATGAATCCCTTTTAAAGCATCCCAAGAAATCATCCAGTCTATGCTCAGACACTTTCAGTGATGAAAAATTAATTTGCCTATGAAGCAACATATTCTATTTTCAGACAACTCTAATTGTTCAAAACTCATCCTTATATTGAGCCAAAATTGGCTTCCCTATGACTTCCAGCTATTTGTCCCAATTCTACCCCTTGGAATTACACAGAATAAGTCATTTCAGTGCCTCAGATAATGATGGTAGTCACTTATCAAAACCTTTCACCTGTGCTATATCTAATTTGTTGTTTTTTTCCCCTAGAAGCCCATGCTAAGAAAGAAGAAAAGCCCACAAAACCAGGTACACAGAAAGAAGAAAAACCTACAAAACTGGGTACACAGAAAGAAGAAAAACCAGCAAAACCAGGTATACAGAAAGAAGAAAAAACAACAAAACCAGTTCCACAGAAAGAAGAAAAACCAGCAAAACCAGTTACACAGAAAGAAGAAAAACTAGCAAAACCAGGTATACAGAAAGAAGCAAAACTAGGTGAACAAAAAGAAGGAAAACCTACAAAACCAGTTACACAGAAAGAAGAAAAACTAGCAAAACCAGTTACACAGAAAGAAGAAAAACCAGCAAAACCAGTTACACAGAAAGAAGAAAAACCAGCAAAACCAGGTATACAGAAAGAAGAAAAACCAGCAAAACCAGGTATACAGAAAGAAGCAAAACAAGGTGAACAAAAAGAAAAACCTACAAAACCAGTTACACAGAAAGAAGAAAAACCTACAAAACCAGTTACACAGAAAGAAGAAAAACCTACAAAACCAGTTACACAGAAAGAAGAAAAACCAGCAAAACCAATTACACAGAAAGAAGAAAAACCAGCAAAACCAGGTATACATTTTTTTTCCTCTTGCATAAATGGATTGATACTGAACCCAGGAGCTAAAAGAGGTTCACTTCCCTCGGATGGGAAATTTAAACAGTCTTTGCATTCCTCATTGTTTCTCTTCTCTCCCTTCTACATCTAGGGCTCACACATGTGACAAATAGAATCTTATGGGTATAGAGATTTATCTATATCAAGAGAAATAAGTATGTCTTCTGAATCTCATAGTCCAATGAGGGATCTCTTGGGGTTCCTTGACATGAAATGAGGCCAGGTTTAATTTTGCTATTCTCCAATACTTCCAAGAACATCTCCAATGCCACCTTGGATTTCCCTACATCAAAAATAAAAACAAACATTTCTCTTTTGTTTGTTTTGTTTTTAGGCAATTGGGGTTAAGTGACTTGCCCAAGGTCACACAGCTAATAAGTGTCAAGTTTTTGGTCTGAGGTCAGATTTGAACTCAGGTCCTCTGACTTCAGGGCTGGTGCTCTAACCACTGGGCCACCTAGCTACTCCTAAAAACAAACAAACAAATGGACACAAAAATAATTTAAGGAGGGTGATAAAAGCTCAGTTGGTTGGAAAACTCTCATCTGGAGATAAATGATGTATTTTCTCATCTTTTTATGTCTTACACCAGCTTCCCTGGCTATACGCTATGGCCTTTAATCAGTTGTTACACATAATTTCAATAAAATGGCAGTGCCATTTAATTACCTACTTGCCACTTGAATTTTTATTCTCCTCAAATAATGTTTAAGTGGCCACAGATGAATGGTTGCCATCTACCAAAATCCTTGACCTAAAGCTTAATATTTTTGTAACATAAATTTTGTAACCTTTGAAACTTCTGTTTGCCAATCTATGTCATATTATAGCAGAAAGTTTAAATTAACTAAAATAAATATACCAACATGCATTTTCAATTTGCTTCCTAGCTGCTCCAGACAAGACTCAAACATACAGTATGTATACCAATTAAAAACTTAATCTGTAGTTATTTTTAAGGAATTTTATAAATGCTTTCATCTGCTCAGAACTTTTTTCATGAGAATAAATCTACATTCTGTTTTATAATTTTAGCATGAAAAAATATCTTTATTTTTTACTTTGATCAAACTGTTCAACAAAATATCTTCTCCTTGAGAGAAGAGATTATTTCTTCATTATATTTGTATCCCCAGCACCTAGCATGGTGGCTAGCATACAAAAGGTGCTTAACGAATGCTCATTGGGCACATTAATTAATCACTGTTATCTTTTACAACATTGAATATTCTTGGTGAGGGTCCAGACCTACAGAGAAATCAGAATCTTTCCCCAAAGGAAAGCTAAAGGATAGATAAATGGATCTAACATATTAATCCCCTTCACAACATTCCCAAAAGATCATCTAGGCTGCATACTGAGGCACTTCTAGTGATAAGAAATTGACTTTCCCATGAAACAACCCATTCCACTTTCAGGCAACTTAATTGTTCAAAAATCATTCTTATAGTGAACCAAAATTGGTGTCACCATGACTCTCAGCCTTTGGTTCCAATTCTATCCTCTAGAATTACATAGAATAAGGTGTTTTCAGTGCCTCAGGTAATGATATTAGTCACTTATCAAAACCTTTCACCTGTGCTGAATCTAGAAAGAATAGTAAGTTCTATTTTTCATCAAGACACATGCACATGTACATAAAACACAAATATCTATTGTAGTTTTGAATGCCATGTGCAAAAATAATGAACATTATCACCAAAATCCTTACTTCCTTTATGCTCAATTTCTCTCTCAACCAATTTCCTCTGACTTAAATTTCTTCCCAAAGACCACCTGCATCAGGAAATTACAAAAAATCAAGCACAGTATGAGGTTTTGTTTTGCCTTGATGTGTGTGTGTGTGAAAGAGAGAGAGAGAGAGTCTGTCTCTATATTACTATGTTTTTACTCTGCTAGCACTCCTTAGTTAAAATTATGTAAACAAAGCAGAATAATAATAATAAAATCATAATCTGTTGGCCTTTTTTTCTTGTATGTGTTACATTTTCTAATTTCTATTGTTGGTTATATTTTTCTAGCAACCCAGGCTAAGAAGGAAGAAAAAACAACAAAACCAGGTACACAGATTTTGGTTCTTGCATGAATAGATAAATATAGAACTTAATTGACTTCTATTCTATATTAAAAAGAGGTCCACTTGTCTCTAATGGGAAATGTAGGCAGTCTTTGCATTCTTCATTGTTTCCTTCTTTCCCTACTATATACTGGGCTCACAGGTAGCAAAGAGAATTTTATTGATGGTACTTGCTTCAGCAGCATACCTACTAAAATTGAAATGATACAGAGATTAGCCTAGCCCCAGAGCAAGAATGACACACAAATTTGTAAAGCATTCTATATTTTTAAAAAACAGTGGGCAGCTAGGTGGCACAGTGGATAGAGCACCAGCCCCAGAGGACCTGAGTTCAAATGTGGCCTCAGATACCTACTAGCTATGTGACCCTGGGCAAGTAACTTAACCCTGATTGCTTCAAAAACAAAGTAAATGAAACAAAATTATATAGATTAAGAATGACCGGAATGAAGAGATATGAGAAGGCATGCTAACTCTATCCCTTCTAGAAAGTGGGAGGTCCACAGGTATTACACATTGCACATATTTTCAGATTTTTTCAATGTATCAATCAGCTATGCTGATTTTTTTCCCCCTTTCTACAAAAATACTGTTTGTCAAGTGGTTTGGCTGTCTGGGAGGGGATTACTTGGAATAACCATGGTGATGGAAGAAACAGAAAATGTCAATACAAATTATTTTGAAGCAAAGGATGTACTGATTAAGATTTTACTTGGATGATATATACAAAATACTTAGAGAGTGAGGTATATCTAAGAGTATACCAAAACCATCTCAAATCAGGCTCAAGAGAGCCAATTGTTTAGTTTTCCTTATAAGCATTTACACCTTGGAAATGAGCAAATGCTCCAAAATAGGGCATTATTTATTGTTTTGTTAATCTTCTAGACTTAAGAAAGTAATAGGGAGAATATTAATAATGAAGATTAAATTTAAAAATGAAAAAAGATTTTATTGGCATATATATTTATCACAATACATTTATTCTGTGAGTTCCATAGTTCAGTGAGTCATCTACTGGAGTTCATTGATATGAAATAAGGCCAGATTTAATTTTGCTACTTTCCCATTTCCAAGAACTTTTTCAAAGCTACCTAAGGCTTACCAATAGCAAAAGGAACTAAATGAACACAAAAGAAAAATATGAATACAAATGAAAAATAAATGAGAAATATGCTATCATATTTGGTTGAAAACCCTAATCTGGGAGTAAATCAAATCTTTTCCTCATCTTTTTAATTCTCACACCAGCTTCCCTGGCCATAGGCTATGAGATTTAAGCAGTTGCCTTTTGTTACAATTTCAACATAATGTGAGTGTTACCAAACTATCTACTTGCCATCTGAATATTCATTTGCCTTGACTAATGTTTTAATCACAGACAAATTAATGTCATCTACCTAAACTTTGATATAAAGTATTAGTTTGTTTTGTAGCCTAAATTTTGTAGCATTTGAACCTTCCTCTTGTTATCATGCTATGTCATATTGAAGCAGAAATATATCAAAATGTATTTTTCAATTTTCTTTTTAGCTGTTCCAGACAAAACTCAAATTCACAGTATGTATGCCAATTAGAAACTTAATGTATAATTATCTTATGGAAATTTATAAATGTTTTAATCTGATCAAAATTTTCTTACAAGTAATAAATGATCTTTTGTAATTAATAAATCTATATTCTGAGCTTTGTGCTTTTAGCATAAAAAATTCTCTTCATATGTTTCACTTTGATCAAGCCATCCCCCAGAGTATCTGCTCCATAAGATCAAAGCTTGTTTCATTTATGCCTTTGTATCTCCAGCACCTATCATAGTGGCTAGTATGCAAAAGGTGCTTAATAAATGTTCACTCAATACACTAGTCAATCATTTTTATATTTAAAACATTAAGTACTTTTGGTAAGGTTCCAGAGCCAAATGAAAAGCAGAATTTATTTCCAAAGGAGAGACACATGGATGTAACACATGAATCCTCTTTACAATATCCATAAGAGATGATCCAGGCTGTGCTTAGATACTTCCAGTGATGAAAACTTCGTTTCCCCATGAAGCAATCCATTCTACTTTCAGACAGCTGTTCAAGAATCATTCTTGAGTCAGATCTGGCCTCCCTATTACTTCCAGTCACTGGTCCTAAATCTGCCCCTTAGGATTATACAGGATAAGTACTTTTAGTGCTGTAGGTAATGATATGTCACTTGTGAAACTCTTTAACCCATGATGAATCTAGAAAGAACAGTAATTTTAAGTTAGCTGTTTCTTCAGCACACACACACACACACACACACACACACACACACACACACACACCCCTAAATGTTATTCTGTTAAATCTGTTAAAATTATGATTGTCACCAAAATCCCCACTTCTTTTCTGCCCAAACTCTTTCCCAACCTTCTACTGGCTTAAATTTCAGCCCAAATCTCACCTGCACCAGGAAATTACAGAAAATTATGTAGCATATGGCTCTTGATTGTTAAGTAAGTCTATCTGGCATGGATCTTAGATTATTATGTTTTTGCTATGTTAACAGTGTTTTATTAAAATAATATAAACAAAGCAGAATAGCCATCAGAATCTGCTAGGCTTTCTTATAATTAGTGTAGATTTCCAATCTATATTTTCCCCCTAGAACCTAAGCCTAAGAAAGAAGAAAAACCCACAAAATCAGGTATATGATTTTTGGTTCTTGGATGAATGGATAAATAAAGCACTCAACTTCTTTCCATTCTGGAATGGAAAAAAAGATTCAGTTCACTCTAATAGGAAATGTAGACAATCTTTGTATTCCTCATTGTTTCCTTCTTTCCCCCCTACCTCCACATCCTGTGCTCATGTATGTGGCAAATAGAATTTTATGAATGTAGAGATTTTTCTGTATCAAAAGTAATGTGTTTATCATATAGGCTCTGTAACTAAATGAGGCATATTCTAGAGTTCCTTGACATGAAGTGAGGTCAGGTTTAATTTTACTATTCTCCAATATTTCTAAGAACTTCCCTAATGTCACATCAGGTTCAATAATATAAAAAGAAAAATATTGAATAAGATCATGCAACCTCAGATGATTGGAAAACTCAAGTTTGGGGGTAGATAAGATATTTCCTCATCTCTTTTGTTCTCCTGCAAGTTTTAGTTAATAACTTTTGTATTTTACAATATTTGATAAAGTGGGACATTTTTATATTTCAGTCCTTGGAAACTTTTGCTAAACTATTTCCATGAAGATTATCAATCAACTATGCAAATATGTAATGAATTATATAACAAGAAATTCATTATAAATAAAAACTGAAAGTATTTTGTAATTTCTTTTTGTAGAGCAAGATACTACGAAACTGGAAAAGTCTGTCTCTCAAACTAAACCAGGTATTTTAGATTATATCAAAAGTTTATAAACAATTCAGAATAGACTTTGAATGAGTCTTGTAGAATAGAAATGTGTTCAGGCCAACCAACACAGATTTCACTACTATATGCTATGTTATATTTGCTATATTTGCCTCATTATAATAGCCTTGTATCCTCAATATCATTTTATATTGAGGCCTTTAAAGTCAATGTTGGTAGTAAGGTTGATATCCTTTGTGAAGGTATATACTCAGATTATCATACACCTACTACTATGTATTAGGAAGTTCTGACTCACATGGTACTGGAATATTCTGGGAGAATAGTTTGAGACTGGGACAGCTCTGGAAAATATGGATTTGAGATTTTAGTATTCATCCTTTGAGGTGGGGGGGGGGCTGAAATAGCCCAGAATCCTTAGGTGGGAAGTTATAGATGACTAGAGAACTTAGGTAATTATTTCTTCCATTCCTTTTTATGTCTCTTGGAGAAGGGTAGACGTGTTCCAATAGGCTCAGATGTAAAAAACTGAATAAGAATTCCAAATGATTAGTGCTTTAGAATGAATTTCTCTTCTGCAACATAAGCCAAATAGGATTTAAAGCTTTTGCTAATCACTATTTCCCTGTTCCTAGAGAATATTTCTCTTCGGGTCAGAGTGATCCATATAATATGGCCTTTAATGTTTTTTGAGCCACATATTAAAATAGGCCTCTCGCTAAGCACCAGAAAAGGGGAAAAAACCTGACATCACTGTTTTCATTTGTGTGTGTGTGTGTGTGTGTGTGTGTGTGTGTGTATGTGTGCAGGTTTTTTTGGGGGGAGGGGATTGGATTTACAGAGCTCACAACTATTGTGGAGATTCCTACTTTTAAAAAAATGATACATTCAAAAATTAGTGGAGAGAAGATGCTGCTGAAGGTAGGGGATGTGGAAAATTCTATAAATGAGTGGACAGAGATAGTATAATGACCACAGTAACCTTGCTTTGCTGTCTTGTGGTATGTGCCATGTTTCCTTGTACTAGGCTTTGGGTTCCCCAACCTTCTTACTCCTTTTTAATACAGATAGGTTGCGATTGGAATTATGGGGTAGAAAGCCCAATCGATAAGATCATAAATCTACTTAGGTATAGGAGTATCAGTACAAGTCAATAGCACTGAGACAATTAAGGCAGAATCTCCCGCTTTAAGCTACCCATTTCTTATGATGTGACTCCATGAAAAGTCTTCTCCTTATATTGAAATAGAATATCAAGCATTCAGTTGCTGTGAAGGGTTTGACAAGTTTGCATACCTTGTCAATCCAGAATTTGAAAGTTAGAAGGGACCAGGGTGACAAACTAGTCAATTTATATACAAAAAGTTCTCTTTTGCCTCCATTCTAACATTTAATTCCTTCCTATTCTTTAGGTGTTTCCCAGCTAACCTTTCTGAGTTGACTTTCTGTAGAGCATAATTCAGCAAATCTAATTCTGTACACAGCAGAAACACTTGGAACACTAAATTCTTCCAAGTGTCATTGCAACTTTTATTTTGTTTGTTTCTGAGAAATCTAGGTGAAAATGTCAAGCAATCCTATTGTAGAAAGCAAAGTGAGTATACTAACAAGAAGCAACCCATATATACCACTTCCCTCCAACACCCCCAGCTTAGGGAAGATTCACAAACATTTGTTTTTCAAATCCACAAAAGAGTAAGCATGTAGACAATGCTCAAGAAGCACTAACAGGCCTTTAAGTACCATATTAGGGGCTTAGTGGTTTTGAGTAAAAAAAAAAGTAGAAAATGGTGACTAGCTAGCCTCTGAAATCACAACAGAGCACATATTCAATCAGTGCAGATTTATACAGATGTATACATATATATATCTATATCTATCTATCTATGATATATATGTGTGTGTATGTATATGTATGTGTGTATGTATACATATATATGTATATGTATATACATATATATATATATGTATACACACACACACACACACACACACACAAGCGGAGGAGAAAGTAGATCGGAAGGTTAGAGGTTATTCTGGTAGGCTGGTGAATAGTCCAAAATAATTAGGGACATTTTCCTGAAATAGAAAAATTTGTTATCTGTGGGTGGTTGGAGGAAATGTGTTTTTATGTGCTCACATTGAGTTGAACATGTGCTATTACTTCTTTTATTATAAGAAAACCACTGAGTTGTCTCCTGTGATGATAAGAAATTGGATTGATTCTCTCTTTTTATAAAGAAAATAAAATAGTACCTATGAAAATATATTACCATATTTGCTCCTTATGCATTGATGCATTGGGGATTTCTGCCTATGTCAATATGTTTTCTTCACACAGAAGAAAAAGTTATCAAGCAGGTGAAAGCCGCTACAATTCACAAAACAGGTAAAGAAAAATGTATTTGTAAATTTTTTAAGTTAGTTTCACAATATAGGGTTGCAGATATTCAAAACTAGCTATGAGAAGAGTCTTACTTTTTTTTCTCCATTGATAACAATGAAAAAATATGTTGGCATATTTTTAGAAAATTTCTAAATCATTAAAAAGTGACTAACATAATTAATCAAGTGCATGACTAAAATTGGAGAGCCTAATCTGACTTTTCTTTCTGGACCTGGGATTCCCTTGGAATAGGGAACTCCTGGTGAGAAAATACCATCTAGAAATTCAGATCATCATGTACTCTCCAATTTATGGAGTCAGAGAGTTTCCTGAGTCACTGAAAGGTTAAATGATTTCCCAGTCAAACAACCAGTGCATGTTCGAGGCCTCTCAAAAATATAGTTTCCTTAAACTAGTCTTAGGAAATAGTTTAGGATGTATATATACATACATACATAAACATACATGTGTATGTATGTGTCTATATATGGTAAATGATGGGAAGCAGTTCATTTAAAACCTTATCCATTTCGTTGATTGATCTTTCAAGTTAAAAGTATACAAGTACCGAAAGTGTAAGATTCTGAAATTATTTGCCTTTTTAAGAGAATGATAAGAAATAAATTCCTTTCATGGGAACACTAAACATAGGTATGTGATGGCATAATGATCTATCTTAAATAATATTTAGCAGAACATGTAAATTTCCTGTAAAACAGTTATATACTTTATTATTTCAAGGAGAGGGGACACCTAATATATGTTCCATTTCTGATTATCTGTATACCACCTGGGAATCATAGCGTCATAGATATAAAGCCAAAAAAGAGGTCCAGAGTCCAAATTCCTCATTTTGCAGCAGTCCAGTGAGGTTAAGTGACTTTTCCAGGGTCACACATGTACTAATCCTCAGAAGTGAGATTTTAATCTAGAACCTTTGACTCTTGGGTCAGTGCTCTTTGCCCTGGGTGGGAATAAATGGAATACTAGTCCAACTGATTAGCTAGGATTTGTACATCCAGGATGATGAGGTAACTCATACCTACCCAGCATGATTATAAACAAACTAGCTACCCAGTTCCTCCATGAAACAACTAATGGAGAGGCATAGCCGTTTTCTGCCTAATATTTCTAGAGCCACACACAGAGTCTGTTATAGATTTCCCTGGAGGGAAACAGTAGAATAACCATTGAGTCTTATCCATCTATTTTTCCCCTCATTGATTCAGATAATCAAGAGTTAAATGTAGCTTCTTTGAAGGAAAAAAAGATACCTGCCAGCAGGAATAAAATGATTATTCATGGAAATTGTTATTTCAGGAGAAAGAGAAAGAAAAATGTTATTAGGTAATTTGAGCATAATCTCTCAGGATCATTGTTCTCTTTTCTATCCAGTGCCTCAGCCAATGGTTCTGCTAAATGGCATGCTAATTTGTACCCTAATGCCTGTAGGTGTTAATGCATCTCCCTGAGCACCTGATGTGATAGTGTCGACATTGGGGGAAAACTGGTTCATTGTATTTCTATCCTGAATCTATAGATTGTCTTTTAATTATGCATGTACTCTTACCTTATCTGTCAGTTTCCCAGAAGGCACTATGATTGATGAATATAATGATAATGAAAAGATCTAGCCTTTAGAGAGTGGTGTTGGTTAGGCTAAGGGGAAAATCTAAAATTAAAAATGTCAATTCAAATACTGACATCTTTCATCTCTTGTTTTAATTTTTCCATGTAATACTTGGCTTTCCTTTAGTCTCCATAGCCAAGCTCAAATTAGCACGTATGATAAGACTAAAAGCCTTGAAGTTCTGCATGTCTGTTTTAGCTTTAATACTTCTAAACTGATTTTTTTGTTTTTTTGTTTTTTAGTTTGACCTAATAAAAACCATTAGTTTTATATCTTTTTTTTATCTCTTACTTCTAATTAACAGTTCTATTTTCTTTGACATAAGCAATTTTGAAAGTTCATGTATCACAATTGGTAAAACACAAAATGAATAAAGAAGGATCAGTGTTTTGATTGTGGGCCTATTACCACCTATTCATTGATTTCTATCTACAAAGTACTTCAGCAATCATCCTAGTCCAACCCTATAGTTTTACAGATGAGGATATCGATACCTAGGGTAGGGAAGAGATTTGACTACATGCATGAAGCTCCTGTCAGAGCAGGGACTAGAAGACAAGTCTATTGAAGTTCAGTGTCTCATTCCAACATTCCAGAATGCCTCCATATGATATTGATATTATGTTTATGTTTTCACAGCAATGTAAATTCAGAAGGCTAAGGGTTTTTTTATGTTTAACGATTGGCCCTTTCCTTTTTTGTTTATGATTTATTTTGGTTAAACTCTTTAACACCATGGTAGTTTCTTTCTATATGATGCTGGGAAGATAAAATAATAGAATTACAAATGTTAATCCCTTGTTAGTATACAGCACTGTGACAGAGACACAAATTATTAAACACTTTCCCTGTTTAACAGAGTTTTCAGGCAGGTTGGAGAGATAGTAATGGCCAAATTAGTAATAATCCCAACCCAAGTGGGATTGTTGTAGAATGATCAGATTATAAAATTTGATTTCAGGAGACTTGACTTCTGAAATTTGTTAGCCATATAACCATAAGCAAGACATTTTTCTTCTTTGGGCCTCAGTTTCCTCATGTGTAAAAAGAGAGGATGAATTAATAGGTTTCTAAAGTGTCTTCCAGTTCTACAATGCTAATAGTCTACTCTATTTGGCTGACCATGATGTTATAAAATGGTATTTATATTTCTATCTTACCAGAAAATTTAGTATAAACTTTATAAAAAAGAATATTCCTATTGACATAGATTTTGTTCCTTTGATTGCCTAAAAAATACCAGGTGTTTTTCATAGTGATTTTTATTATTAAGGTGAATAAGAAATGAGTATTTATAATAAGAATATCCATAATGTGCTTCAGAAGGACAGGTTAATTTGTTGAATAACAAATGAGTGATTTGAAGTCCTATGTGAGTTCTTATCCATTGATTGTGCATGGTATTTTCTTTTCTTTTTTTTTTTTTTGGTGGGAAGGGGAGGCAGGGAGCTAGATTAAGAAGAATAAGTGCCCTTTCTTTGAATCTCATCTTAGAGCCTTCATCCACCCTCCCATCTCCAGATGTCACACCATGTCCCTCAAAAAAAAAAAGAAAGAAAAAGAAAGAGAAAGACTTTAGGTCATTTCTCCAAGATAGGCACTATTAATGTAATGAATCAAATTAGCCCATGAATCAACACTTTCTTTATCAACCTTCATTCACATGCCACACATGTTTCTGCTGTGTGAACTCTTGACAGAGCTCGGAATGCATTTTATTACATTATTTTTCTTATTACATAGATGGGAGTTTGAGGTAGGATGTGCACCCTTGACCACTAAGATCCCTTTCAAAACTAAGAGTCTATGAGATTATCGGTTTTGCAAATAAAGACCTGTTAAGCATATTTTTCACATGTACTGAAATGCACTAATTTTCCAATTGCATTATTATTACTATTTAATCAGTATGTTTGGTGACTGGATCTTTCTCTAGGATACATGTGTGCTTACATAACAGTAAATTAAAGTTAATTCTTCCATGCTGGCAGCCTTTTCTTTTCAAACACTTGACTTGCAAAGGATTCATTTCTAAAAATAACTGCTACCAGCTCTGTTCATGGGAATCACTGTGAAGAGCTATTAGGGGATATGTTTGCTAAGAAACAGGAGGAAAAGAAGAGACATAAAAGTAGGAATTCTTAGAGGAATTGATCCCCAAGGTAGGGGAGGACTGAATCTGTAAATAAGGGTCCCTTCCCTAAATATCTTTTCCCATACTTTCTGAACTTTATCATTTCCCTTTGTGATAATCACTGCTCCAAATTTTACTACAGACTAATTTCTGCTATTAAACATCTCTTGGAGTTACTTCTTAAAAGACAGAACTGTCACGAATGATCATGATTTAGCTTACACTGGTTTCTAGACCAGGGATCTCCATATGGGGTTAATGAACCCAAAAGGTCATATATAGGTAGTCTGTGAACATGAAACTGCATTTTTTCAGTAACCTCTAACTGAAATTAAGCATTACTTTACACAATGAATGTAGACAGCCAACCATTTTTCTGAGGAGGGATCCACAGGCTTCACCAGGCTGACAAAGGGGCTCATGACACTCTGGCCAGCAGTCTCAATGACCAAAGAAGGGGGAAGAAGTGTTCTTAATTTTTATCCCATTATCTTTGCCTCTCTGGCTGCCAGGAACCAGAGCTCCAGCTAGGATTACCAGTAGCATATAGTTGAGCTACTCAGTGGATTAGGTTTTGTGAGCTTCCCTGCCTTAGGAGCTACCATTTGAAATATTCCTGTTAGACGAAATATTCTCAGTAAAAGTAGCTGATGTGCAAATGAAATTTTAAAGGGCAATCTTCCTGTAAATTAAGAACTGCCAGTAACATATATATAAATATGTATATATATATACATATATATATATATATATATAATATATATATATATATATATATATATATATATATATGTATATATATGTATATATATATAATAAAGATTTGAAGGAAGTACTTATTTTAAAAATGAGAACTGATCCAAGACAATTCTGAAGGACTTAAGATGAAAAATGCTATCCATCTCCAAAGAAAGAACTGATGGAATCTGAATGCAAATCAAAGTATACTTTTTCTAATTTTTTGTTTCTTTCTTTTTTTTTTTGGTCTTTTTTTTTTACAACATGACTTTAGTGGAAATATTTTGTATGACTACACATGTATATCCTATATCAAATTGCTTACTTCTCAGTGAGGGGGGAGATGGGGGAGGAGAAAGGAAAAAATTAGGAGCTCAAAATTTTAGAAAATGTTTAAAATTGTTTTTTTATGTAATTGGGGAAAAATAAAATATTAAATCACAAAAAAATAAAAGTGAGAGCTACCGAGAAATGATTTTTCTTATTTTTTTCTAGAACAAGCTGAACATCAAATAAAAGAAACTCCAACTGCAAAAACAGGTAGTAACTTTGCATTGTATGTTATACCTTTATTGTAATGTGAGTGCACATCCACATGCATATACATACATACATATATCTAAACATACACACACACCTGAGTCCATATATATGTAACCTATGGCCTAAAGCAACTTTGGATGAAGCTGAATCCTTATCTTGTGGGCTTCCTAATAATCATGCTATTCAGTTCATGCCATGTTTCCTCTTCCCTCAACCCCCCACTATTCTTTCCCCAGGGAACATTTGAATTTGACTCATTTTTGGCTATTCCCTAAGGGTATACACTTTGCAACTATATAATACTAACTAGGCATAGAACATTTAACATTTATAGGCGTGTTACGGGAGAAATATCTCATCTCTGAGTTCACATGGTGGGTAACTGTTGCCAAATATATCTATCGAAATGCAGAAATTATGGAGGTAAAAACCTAGATTTTATTATTGTGACCAAGCATAGGTTCAGGCCTCAGACATTAGGATTTCAATAAGGTTTCTTATAGGAAAAATTACATCAGAGTGACAGAGAAATAATTTATTTACATATTGCAATCTTGTACATTCCTCTTACGTAGGTATACCATTCCATACTTCCTTGACTGTCATAAAAGTTAATAAATCTTAATCAACCGGAGTCATAATCTCATATATCCTCCAAGGAAAGAAACTTCATCAAACAAACTCTATAGGCAAACTAAGTCAGGCTACAGATTAAACTATATTTATAAGATTCACAAATAGACTGATTAGGAGGAGAACTTACATGTCACCAAGGAGTCAGGAACAGTTGAGATTCTTCCTCTGGCTTCTTATCTAAGTAATGTTTAAGACTCAAGTAAATTTTCACATCTGATGGAACAAGATTTGGTCAAATGAGGTTAATATTAACCAAATTGCAGGAAGAATGGCAGTTAGTCCCAAACAATAAAAAGGAAATTTAAAATTCCCATAATAGATGAGTTATAAAGTGCTTTTCAAGCCTTAAAAGCATTAAATAAAGCTCTTTATTTTGAGAGAGCTAGGTAATGCAGTGGGTATAAGACAGGGTCAGAAAGATCTGAGCTCAAATCCTACCTCAGACACTTAACTGTGTGACCGTTACAGAGTATGAAAAATAGAGATAGTAATATCACCTACCTAGCAAGGCTGTTTTGAGGGTCAAACAAGTTAACATATATGAAGAGCTTTACAAACCTAAAGTGTTATATAAATGCTGCTATGATTATTCATTATACCATAAACACAATTACAAAAAGTACTCATATCTGAGCCCACAGGTAGTCTATATAGAAAGCAGCATATTCCTTAATATATAGACATGTATAGTTGTTTCTAACTCATAGCCCTGTATAGTGTTGAGGCTATCTCCATTCAGGAAAAGAACTCAAGGTAGTTAAGAACCCTATACCTCTTTGAATGAACCCAATTTTTTTGTTTGTTTGTCTTCCCCATTAGAATATGACCTCCTTGGATGTGGGGACTCTTTTTGCCTTTCTTAGTATCTCTAGTAGCACACAGTAAGTGCTTAATAAATGCTTATTGACTGACTAACTTATTGGTGAGCTCCACCTCCCCCAGGGACCTGTATAGTTCTCCAGATGTGTAGCACTGATGTAGGTTTGAGGTCCCTGGTACACCAGGAAAGAACTGGAGGTGACTGGACTATTAACCTCTTCCTATTGGAATTTTAGAGGTTACATAACTCACACGACCAGTGAAGGGTAAAGTCCAGGCTTGCTTTTCCACATGATACATTTTTAGTCCTCATTTCTGGCCTTCCCAATTCCTAGCTTTAACCGAGAATTCCTCAGTATGAGGTATGAGCTCCAGCACTGCTACTCCACGGTCATTCTATCTGATATCTATCTACTAACTTCTGCCTGCAACCAATCCTGTTTCCATTGCTTCTATTTCCCCTCTTTTTAGAACTATATGCAATATAATAGCAATGAAATAGCCAGAAGTAGTATGTCTCTGGGTTAGTTAATACATTTTACAGCCCTAAAAAAAGATAAAGTTCTGCCCAGATTATGTCCAGCTGATGAAAGTTTCCTTCAGATGTCTGTGAAGACCTGCTGACTTTTTGAGACTAGGGATAAACATATACTCACAAAACACTCACATGCATACACATTCCATTTCCATTCATTTTTTCCCAATTTTTACTACCATCATCCTTCACCACTACAGCCAGGCCATACAAATTGTACTTAGAGAAACCCCAAGAAACCTTTAGAAAAAATGTAGAAGGGGCAGCACTGACCTGGAAGTCAGAAGGACCTGAGTTCAAATGTGACCTCAGACCAAATGCTTGACACTTACTAGCTGTGTGACCCTGGACAAGTCACTTAACCCCAATTGCGAAAAGAAAAGAAAAGAAAAGAAAAGAAAAGAAAAGAAAAGAAAAGAAAAGAAAAGAAAAGAAAAGAAAAGAAAAGAAAAGAAAATATAGGTTATTACTGTCAATATTGCTGCAGTGACCAAGACTCATGTTCCTAACACACACACACACACACACACACACCCCTACCTGTGATTCCATTAGTAGAAAGAACTCATTAAATAACTTCCTTTATCAATGTAGATCAACACCTTCTTTGCAATTTATAGTATTAAAGTTGTTGCCTAAGACACTAAAAGGTTAATTAACTTAACTAAAGAAGCACAGCCATTTAGAGTCATGGAAAGAACCTGAACATTAATTTCCCAGATTAAGAGTCTAGCTCTTTTATCTCTTAGTTCATAGACATCAAAGAGCACTGGATTGGGGATCTGGGGAGTGGAGAATGGGGCAGGAAATGGGGGCTTTGATTCTTTCTCAGGTTTTGCTATCTTCATAACCAAGTGACCTTGTAACAATCCTTCTGGGTCTGTTTCATCATCTATAAAATTAGAGTATAGGAATAGATAGGGTTGGTTTTTTTTGGAACCCTACTACCTTACAATCCTATGATATAGCAAAACTAAGAAGTTATAGCAATACATAAATTACTTTTATGTCCTTTTTGTCTATACTCAAATCTTGCTCCTTTATCGCTTTTCTCTTACATTGTCAGGGAATGAGAGCTTCTAGTTATTCTTTTTATTTTATTTATATATTATTTTAGTAATATTGTCTATGTATGGATTATCAATCTTCCAAAAATCAGAACATAGTAAAATATATTTTTCTTCAACTAATAATAATAATGGCTACTATTTATATAGTGTTGTGCTTTCTATTATCTCATGTTATCCTCATAACAATCCTAGGAGGTAGGTGCTGGTATTAACCTCATTTCACAGATGAGAAAAAAAAGGTAGATGTTAACTAAGTTGCCAAGGGTCACGTATCTAGCAATTTTGTGAGACAGAAATTGAACATAGTTTTTCCTGACTCCCAGGTCTGGCATGATATTTATTTTGCCCCCTAAGTTTCATCTGCATTTAAAACTATTTAGCTACATTGAAAATGCTTTAAAAAGATAATTTAATAAAAAGTTATTTCAGGATCTTGTATTATCTCAGAATCCCTGTGAATAAGATAATAACTGTCTTCTAGGTGACAAAATGCCAGATAATGGAGAATTTAAACGTATAATCTGAAATAGTATGCTCTTGAAACTTTCATTGAAACCTTATTTTGACTGTTAATTTGGTCAAATTCCTTACCAGATTTCATTGCTAAAAACTCAGTATTTATCCTTACTAAATCTGACCAAAGTTCCTCTTCCTGTCAGATAATGACAGTAAATTGCTTTTTCAGAATCCTGAACAGAAAAACTCTAAATATTAAAGCACCCTTTTGAAAAGTTCTGAAAAGACTGCTGCTTTTTGCTGCAGCATTGGGAATGGGGGAGGGGGGAGAGGAAGGCATTAGTTGTTGTGCTTTTACACAGAAAACCATAAATGACAGTTTGACTCCAAAAGCAGACTTTCAAAGATCTTGGGAGTAGAGGATCTCATTAAGATTCTCCAGTTATTTTATCCTAACTTACTGCCTACCTCAGTAAAACTCTTTAGGGGGAATTGCATGGAAGGAAATCAAAATATACAGCCTTCTCTTCATCCCCATACACATTTAACCTCATTTCTAGAAATGTCAGAAATAGAAAGTATAAAGGTCAGGATTTTCATCTATTGCTAGAATATTAGCTCATTCTTTATTTTTTTTTACCTTTTTTGTTTCATCTATTTTCTAGATAAATCCAATGCACCTATATTTTGTGTCCTAAGATGAAGCCTGAATTAGAAGAAGGTAGAGGGCTGCTTTCTATATCATGTTATATTTTTTGCACTAACCTACAAATAATCAGAAGGAGTTAGGGGACCAAATAGATAGAATGTTTGAACAGGAGTCCAGAAGACCCGAGTTTGAATCTTCCCTCAGATACTTACAGCCTCAGTTTCCTTATCTGTTAAATGGTGATTATAATAGCACCCACTCCATGCATCAGTGTGAGGCTCATGTGAGATAACTTCCATAAAGCATTTTGCAAGTCTTAGGCACTACGTAAATGCTAACTATTAAACAGATGCTCCAAATGATGCTAATGTAGTACAGGTATCAATAATTTTTATAAATATTCTAATAGTATATTTACCCACAAAAATAAATTAGATTTGCTGAAAGTTCTTGAAAAACTCAATAGAGAAGATTCTCACATATGTTATATTTTGGAATAATTTTTGCATTGGTTTAATTGAGATTTTATAACACACTGCACATATTAAAAAGAGAAGTAAAGATGATTTATTAAAGTTATTAACAGATTTAGAACATTGATTCATTCAACTGATATTTCTTAAGCATATGTTAGGTGTTACATCCTAGAGGAGAAGCAAAGTTTAGAAAAGTCATATTCCATATCATGTAGAACTCACAGTCTAGTAATAGTAATAACTCATATTTATATTCCACTTTCAGGTTTACAAAGTGTATTGCATACATTATCTCATCTTATCTTCAAAACCTGTGTTTAAATTAAGGCTCAAAGAGGGCAAATAGACTTGCTCAGTGTCATATAGCTAATAAATTCTGAGGAAGATTCTGAACTAACACTGTCCTGGCTCTAAGTGTAACACTTTATCCACTACTCTACATCATCTCCATAAGACAAAAATAGAGATAAATATAGGTATGAAGGACATGGGTGCTCCTCAATTCTAAAAACTCTTGCTACCTACAAATTCAGAATTTGGGGTTATCAGAGTGGGGATAATAATAATTATGTAAATATATCTTGAGTACTCATTCAATTACATACTCTTCTCCAGATGAAGTAGGACCTTAAAGTCAAATATATAGTACTTAGTTCAGGCAAAATAGCAAAATATAGAAACATTAGGCAATAGAATCATCTAAAACTCTGTAAACAAAACTTTTATGGGGTAAGGAAGCTATCTTTCCAAAGTTGGGGGATAAAGTCAATGAAAATGCAACATGCCATTTATCTCCTCTTAGCTTGGCCTCAGTAAGCATCATGGAGAGTACTTAAGCCCTTAAAGTGCAGATTTCACCTTGATGGTACCAGAACCCTCAGGTTTCTAGCTGGACTTCTTTGCTTAAGAATGCCATTGTAGGTAGACTCATCCACATAGTCCTTTTTCTTTCTTATCTGTCAAATGCAGCCTGATTGGGTGTTCTTTGATCCTTCCAAAATCATTCCAAACTCTGACTGCCCAGCTCTTGAAACCTCCTGGTTCTCAGAAGAATCTGGAATCTATACCATTCACACCTTGTCTAATATTGCCATTTTTCTGTACCCACATTCACAACCCACTAATAAATAAAGCCCACATGGACCTAATCACTGTGATTAAATGAAATC